GGGTTGAGCTATACCTTAGAAAACAACATAAAGCTTAGTATGCATACAGCACATATATCAAGCACTCAACACTTCTTACAAACATATTCCCACTAAAAAGGAACAAGCCAACATACCCATCAAACATTAACCACAATTACCAACAAGACCACTGTCAGTCAATGCCTCATCATGTGACACCGTATCACACACTCCACTATTAACCACATAACACAGATATAGATCAAACTCTCCACAACAATTCAGATGCAGACTAAACACAATGAATATGGAATCCCACAAGGAGTCTCAAGACATTAGAAATCAGTATAGACATTGACTCCCCATGATGTACTAATACACCACAAAACACACATATCTTTAAAGTGTACAACATCACTGTAATTTTAAATTACTATAATGTAGACACATACTCAATACAAGCCCAACAGTAGATTCAGATGCATACAGAGTGGCTTAGTCACACTAGTTTCTACCAGGGTTTCTTTCCTAGAATTCTGTCCCCTAAAATGTTATTGTGATCCCAGGAAGGTTTAAAAAATCAAAGGATTTCCTATTTATAGTCATGTCATTGCTGTACAGCTAGAATAGAATCTGCAGCAAAGTAGTCATGAGTTTGATGAAAATACATGTAACCTAACCTGTACATGTACAATAGCTCCCACCCACATCAATAGAAGTAGAGAGAAGCTTCTTGGCAGCAGGATTATTTATGACAGAAAAGGGAACTTAGTTAACCCACTCACAGTGGAAGCTCTCAGCTTTGTACCCAAACATGGGCCAGGATGTGTGAAGGCTCAGCTGCTTGCAGGGAAAATTAGAAATGCAGGAAACATAAATTTATCCCACTCTCTATACTCATGGCATAAACTATGTATAGGTAAGGAGGCTTCACTACGTGTGATCCTCCCCAGTTTTTTTCATTTTTTACCCCCTCCTCCTTAATTACTACTTTCCATCCCCCTTCAGCACCTTACTTTAACAACACCCTCTTTTTCCAATAATGTCTCCATAAACAAGTAAGGAACATTTACTTCTGCAGCTTTTCAAATCATTCTTCAGTTACACCAGAGTCGCAAGCTCAAGCATTATCTACCCATACTGACTTTGCTGGCAAACATCTTTCTGTCCAGCCTTGTCCCTCCCTTAATCCTTGTACCGGAACTGTCTCCATCTCCATCTATAGTTTGACCAGTCCTTGTCTACAACAAGGACTGGTCAAACTATAGAAATAACTTGCTCACCTGCCTTTTGACTATGATGTTATACTATTCCCCTAGAAGCCTCCATAAGTCCTCTACTACTATTACCAAAATTACTTCCCATAGGCATGACCTCCTCCATGATGTTTATATCGGCAAAGAGGCCTACCCAGTCTGACCATATCAACCTCTCCCCAGTCAATCTCAAAGGTTGACTCACATTGTCACTTCACAGCCTGTCTGCCCTCTATGTGCCCAGCCTGGTCATGATCATTCAAACTGCTCTGCACAGTCACTCACTGCTGTGTATTGTGGTAGCTTCCATAATCCATTTTATAGTGGCTGTCCAACCTACAAGTTTGCGGTGTAAGTTCTTCAGATTAAAACTTGGTCTCTCCTAAGGCAAGGCCAGACAGGAACCATGCCACTGAGGTTTTTTCTTGCTCCCTACTCCAGTGTTGTCTTTCAATCTGACCCAACACCTTCCTCCCAAGATGTTTCTACATCTTCCTACATCTACCTCTTTCCCCTACTCCTTACATTCCCCCCTCTGCCCCCTCTCTATCCCAGATAATTATTTTACCATTCTAAATCCAGGTACTCCAATCTATACTTCTTCCCCTATGCCAACCTCTCCTCCTTCTCACTCAACTCACCAATGTTCCACCACATCCTCTCCTACACCTACCTCTTTGTCTGCTCCTTAGATATTTAAGTCCTCTTCATCCTCTTATTAGAAAACCTTCATTTCTCAGACTTCCTCAACCAAATCCCTTCCAGAAACTCTTGAGTACATTCACAACTTTCTAATCATGTCCCAAAATCACATGCCTATCCCTCATCCACCCTACAATCTCACTGCTCCCATTCTCTCTATAATTAGAGTGACTGCCAATGTCCATCCTCCTCCTACTCATGTTTCCTCTATACCCCTTTTCCTAGTCCCTCCCAACACACCCCATCCTCCCCTTTTCCATTATCCTTTCCACTCCTTCCTGAATACACACATGACTCCCTTCTGTCACGAGTGCCCTCCCCTGGATCCTCCCCCTACTGACATTCCTCCTGATACCTCACCTCCTGCCCCTGATCCCTAGTCTCATCCCCCAGGTTCTTCCCCTCTTACTTCTCCGACACCCATTTATAATAGCTCTTTCATCTAATTGCTCTTCCCCTTTTCTTAACCCAATGGTGCCGGGGAAAATGAACAAAAAATGGGGAAAATATTGTGCCCACTTTCTATGTTTTTCGTGAAATGTCTGCCGATAGATGGCTCTGCTAGCGCCTGATTTGAATGGCGGGAAAAACGTATTTTTCACTAGTGCTCTGAAAATCGATGGTGTTATTTTTATCATAAACATTATAATTTTTATAATGTTTTTTAACATTAGTAACAGCAAAATAAGATAACGTAAAATATTTCGCAAATCAAAGAAACGGGTAAACGGGCGAGACAGGCGGTGCTCGTAACTGGCTCATTGGTGATTTAGTACAAGTGTTGCCATCTATGCGTAAAAACAATCAAACAAGTACTCACTGTGGGCATAGCACGTACGTACACGTCATACCCGGCACCAAGGGGTTAATGCCTGACTTTACCCCATGGACATACTTGCAGAATCCCACTTTTTCCTTTAACAATTTGTTTTCCTTTCTGAGAGGCATTTAATCACCCTTAACCTCCCTCCCTTTTCCCCTTTTTGCTAATTCCTGCTTAAACCCATTTACTTACCCACTCTGCCCTCACTCCTCTTTACCTTTGTCAGTATCATACTATCCTAAACTGCTGCACTACTTTGGATGTGTAGTACATTTAATCATTAACTCACCCCTGCCCCTTTATCCATTCATTTCTATACACTTCTATAGTGCTACATGACCTTTGATCTCTGTTGCATTTATTTTTGCCTTGTAACCATTGACTCTTAACCAAAATGATAGTATGTTACAGTCTGAGTGAGTATTTTACTTTGAGGCTCTTGGATTTGATCAAGTTTTAAATTATTTTCAATGTGTATATATAATGAAGAATCATCTTTGTTTTTTAAAGAGAAAACCTTGAGTTGTCATTGATTTTCCTATTAACTGAGATCAGCCATTTTGCCTAAAAAATCTTTGAAGCTGTTGTTGAGATGATATGTCTTTTGTAAGACTTGGATTCCATACTTGTCACTGGTATTACAGTCTTCAAATCACAAGTGTTTTCCATAGTAGAAGTAGATGTTCTGGATCTATTGTTTGAAATGTTCTCATCATCCATCCATTTATAAATTCTTTATTGATTGCCTGCTCGATGTGATTGAAACTCATATCGTTACTCATGAACATGCCTAGGTCTTTTACACCTTTTTTTTTTTTTTTTTTTTTTTGTAAAAATAGAATGGCTATTACATGATGAATTCATCATGCAAGTTTCCTCTGGCATTCATTGGGACAGAGTAAAAATTAGTATGCTCAGTGTCAGACTGCATTGATTCCAATAACTGTATTAAAAACTGATCTGGGATACAAGTCAGGTTTAGGCATTCTAATCTAACTGCAGTGTTGACAGATTTTGTTTTTACCTACATTTTTGTATAGTATACACCAGTGGAATCCTGAGCTGTATCAAACATTTCACTACAATTAGAGTTAGCCACAGCAAACCTTGTGGACATTCTCCTCACAGTTTTTCAAGATGAAACACCCTGTCTCAGGACAAGTAGGAGGTTTTGAAATTCAGTAACTAGCATTGCAAATCAGTGTGCTGATACCAAGGGTTATTACAGGAGTAAAGTAATTAATTATGGTTACTATTACTTACTAAATTTTAGATTATGATTACGATCACAGTTAGTAATGAAAAGTGCTGATGATTTCCAGGTAAATAGTTTTATCACATAATTTTTTAACCCTTAATTCAAAAAACACACTGTTGAGTATATTTGGACTTCTGACATTCAGACTGAGGGACTATTTTCACCTTGTTCTTTTTGCTGGCAGTGGGAGGTAGAGAGTGTGAGGAAGTAATTCTCACACTCTGGCTATACCCTATAGAAACTACCTCCATTATTCCATCCCCTTGTATCCCTTTTTCTCCATAAGCATATTATATAGGCACCTCTTGCCATTGTTCCCAACTCTCTTACAAGTAAATAAACATAGTTATTATTAGCCCAGTACCGATGGGCATGACAGGTTGGTACATGCCATGCCCACTTTAATTTACTTATTTAATTGTTTTTACACATAGATGGCTACACTTGTACTAAGTCACCAGTGAGCTAATTACGAGTATTGCCTGTCTCACCCGTTTACCCTTTTCCTTGATTTATGAAAATATTTTATGTTATTTTGCTGTTACTTAGGTATATTCATAGCATTTGTAAAAAATACATTTTTCCTCACCAATTCAAGGAATGGTGAAATTACGTAAGGTCATAAGGTCTACTAATTGACTCCTTTTTGGTTAAGCACTAGCAGAGCCATCTGTATGCAGAGACATTTCACAAAAATAAAGAAAATGAGCACAGCATTTTCCCCATTTTTAATTCATTTTCCCCAGCGGCAAATGGTTAAGTGAGAATTCTCATGATATGTTAATACAGATAGCAGACATTAAATAAATTACAGAATGGATAAAACGTATGGGGAAAATGGTTCCTTTTTTTCTCTCTCTCTTTTTTTTTTCTTTCTTTCTTTCATTCTTTCTTTCTTCTTCTTCTCTTCTTTATCTTATCTTTTTTCCCATAAACCCAAACCCCAAGCAGAATCATCTCAATAGACCGAGAGAAATCCTCACCTAGGACGCATTTTCAGGCCATCACAAGCTGCATATGTGCCGTCCCCATGGTGATGGGCGAATTCCTCCACCATGCCGGTCTTGGGGTGTCAGCTGACCTGCGTTCTCACCGTTTACACCTTTCACTCGCTCCAGCTCACCTCCTCCCCAGCACAGCCTCAGCCAAGTCACGGAAGTATCAGGTTCCCTACAAAGAGGTGTGTCTTGTGACGTTATAGTTATTTGTTTGTTTTTGGTACTTTAGTCTTTTCAAGGGTGTTGCTTTATTTATTACAGTTGCAAGGCTTGTTTTTTGGGGTTTTATTTCATATTAAATCCAAAGGGAGAAAACAGCTGAAAGATGCAGCTGCTAATATGCAGTGTACATTGTCCTCCAAAGACCCCTCAGTGATGTTTTATTAAAGGACAACGAATCCCATGTGTCCCATTAATTATGCAACTATAATCATAATGTCTATTTTCTATTGAATATCTTTTTTTATATATATATAATATTAGTGAAAGCAATTTTGCACATAGAAAGTTCATTGGAAATTAAGCATTCCAATATATTTTTCTTTAACTTAACTCAAAGAGGAATAGGATAGAAGTAATGGTGATGTATCACAATACTGCTGGGGATAACAGTGTCAAGAAATTTGAGAACCAGTCCATAGGGATAATAAAAATTACTTTTCACTCTTGTCCCAAACACCTAAGTTCTCATTTGACAATATCTTTCTTTTTTTCAGGTCATGCTAGAGCCTGTACGTGACGTACGTGTATACCCTTGGTGGCACCCCCAGTATTGGAAATGTGGGAGATAAAATTCTATTATTGTTACATCATTTTTTTCATATCATTTATAGGTCTTCCATGATTTGCATAATAAATTATATGCATTGTTATCATCTTTTTTTACTCTTTCCTTTATCTTTGGCATGGATTACCAGATACATTGTATTTAAAAACTTTGTTAGCCTGTTGGTATAGAGTTCTGTCTTATACATATTTCTCTTTCTCCCATTTTAATCATGTGAACACTAAAATATTCCAAAAGTCAAAGAAAAGTTTAATAAAAACATAAAATATTATTAGTCTGGTAAGATTTTTTAACTAAAGAAAGTATATTTACAAATTATTGCTACGACATCTCCTATAGTCCAGAACCTGGATTAACTTCCTCACATCAAGGTGAACAAAAGATTTAAATACACTGAACATCAAAGTTCTGTTAGTTCACCCAAATAAGTTTCTCAAAGACCAGGAACTATAGTCACCTAACACTTCATGATTAGTAGTTTAGAATTGTGACTTTTGTGGTCAAAATGTTAACCCATTGCCGCCGGGGAAAATGAACAAAAAATGGGGAGAATGCAGTACTCAGTTTTTATATTCTTGTGAAATATCTCTGTCCATAGATGGCTCTGCCTAGTCCTGATTTCATCTTTCCTTGAATTGGCGGGAAAATTCGTATTCTTACTAGTGCTATAAATATAGATGGTGTTATTTTTAACAGCAAATTAGGATAACATTAAATATTTTTGTAAATCGATGAAAAGGATGAACGGGCGAGACAGGCAGTTCTCGTAATTGGCTCATTGGCGACTTAGTACAAGTGTAGCCATCTGTGTGTAAAAACAATCAAACAAGTCGACTCACAGTGGGCATGGCATGTACGTACATGCCATCCCCGGCAGCAATGGGTTAATGGTTCATATGTATACATCATTTGATTCTGTTTATTCTTGGCTTCAACTTGCACAAGCACTTGATTCAATTGGAATCTTAACCTAACTTAACCTATGCTAATGTTACATCTATCTCTGTGATTCACAGTCTGGGTTAATAGACTATCACCAGGAGTTTTGCAATGAATCATGATATAAAGATATAAAGATTTAAAAATTGGATAAACCAAAATGAAAATTTCATAAAAAGTATCAGACTCCAAACCAGTAAAATATTTCTGTCATATATATAAGCTAGTGCCATAAATGCCCTAGGCCCAGTCTATATTATCCATGTCACATTCTCCAGTCAGTTGTTAGTTGAGCAGGGTAGACTTCCTGTGTTTAGTTGGTCCATACAGTATACTTTAATTGGATACAGTTGTAAAAGGATGATTTTTTAAAGTGTATTGCAGGTTTGGAAAAATCTGATTTTTACAAAATGAAATCAAATAAAAAATCCTTATTCAATTTATATTTAAATCAGCCTGTGGATTCATTGTCATTAACTCATTTTTTGCATCTTAATTTAATTACAGTATAGTATAGTTTCCTGATATGCAAAAGCCAGTCTCTCAATTCTAAAATTATAGGTGTAAACTTGGAATAGTCTTGTTTCTCAGTTAAGCTAAAAACGTGCCATAAATCTTGATAAAAGTAAATTTAATTGATTTTGAATTTGACAGTTTTGTGCCTGTGACTGGTTAGATCCCATCTAGGCCTATATCCAGGGCCAGATTATGACCTTTTGGGGCCCCTAGGCTAATGAAATTATGGGGCACCCTAAGAATATTTTTTTACTCGTGATACATTTTAGTGACATTTACATAGCTTGAAGTAAACTTATTGCAAATTCTTTAAATAAACTAGCATAGCTATCTTTTGTTTGTCAATAAAAATATTCTTTAAATACCACAATTTTACTATATTTCAACACAACCATTGTGAAAAAAAATATATATTTTTTATAACCAAGCCCCTCAAGCTGCAGCCTATACTAGCCTATAGGATAATCCTATAAGCCTATATCTTTTATTTTAACCTACTGCCAACAAGAGCTCATAATGACCACTTTAGTTTTGACTTGTGAATTTTGTTTACACATAGATGGCTCCATAAGTGCTCAGCCACCAAAGAGTCTGCATGACTCACTAAATTTCCGCATTCCTTAAGTCTTCAGCATGTTTTATTTTAAGGATACTATGATATTAGCAATAAAAAATTAAAATAAAAAAACAAGGAAAAGGGTAAACAGCTAAGATAGTAACTGATTCCTTGCTGACTAAGAACTTGTGGATCCAATAAAATTTAGTCAAAAAGGTGAATGACTACTTAGTTTTGTTAAGAAAAAAAAGTTAAGTTAATATCACTGCCAGTACAACTCTGTACAATAGTCAGCATCATCATTCAAAGTATGCAGAACTGCTGGTACTTTTTCAATGCCAGTAATGATACTGATTATAATCTTTAGCCAGTCTTGCTAAAGGCACTGCTAGCAGTTGTGAAGTTATATTTTAATGATATTGTTAAATGGTACATTTTGCTGCATAGATTAAATATTGCAAAACAATTCTCATGCATTAAAATGTTGCCATGATAGCATAGTACAGTGCAATTACTATTTTGTCCTTGTGACAGGATTAGAAACGGTGGCAGTACCATAAGTACTTGACTGTTGTCAGATTTTGTTATTGCTAAAACTTTTGTGACTATGTACACGTTTGGTTGATTATAAAAAAAAATAGCTAACTAGGAAATCAAAATGAGTACTTTGTGAAAGAATATTGTGATTTCATTCCCATGGTAATTTTTTTGTTTCATTTCATGTTATTTCATGATTATCTTGTACAATGGTAAAATGTGCAATTTTTATACCTTACAGAAGTATTGCTTTCAGAAAAAAAAATACCACATGACCATAGTGCTCCTACTGCCAGCAGTAATTTAAACAAATGGTACCACTTCCCCTACACCATCAGGCTTCAGGCATTATTCATCATGTAAGAGTAGTGGTTTGCCCACAACTGACAGTAATACATCATAAGTCACACCAAGTGTATTTACAGATATGATGGCAGATCTCATTGTTAAGAAGCAACAAAGTAAATTTTTTTTTTCAAGATGCACAAACACTGTTCCTACAAAAAAGGGCATTACATGGCATACTAAATTTATAGTACTCCTTGACACCATAGTGTTGATGTAGCAATGGCAGAGGGTGAATTTAATTAGTGCTGTAGACCAGGTTCATCATAATGGAATTCTGAACCACATTACAAGATCCATCAAGCCCCAGCTCTTCATATCGTCATATCTTCCTCTTCATGCCTTTCCTTCTTGCTTCTCATCCTCATTCTTCTCTTCTCTCCCTCTTCCTTTACCTTCTCCCCCTCCTGTCTTTTCTCTTCTTCCACATCCTCACCCTTTTCTTCCTTTCTCCTATTCTTCCTCCTCTTCCACTTCCTTTTCCTCCCTCTCCTCCTCCTCTTCCTCATCATCTTTCTTTTCCTCTTCCTCCTCTTCCCTCTTGCTTCTCCTCCTCCTCCTCCTCTTTCACTTCCTTTTCCTCCCTCTCCTTCTATTTTCCTTCCTTTTCCTTCTCCTCTCCCTCATTCTCATCCTCGCCCTCCTTTTCTTCCACTTCCGCTCTCTTCCTGCCTCTCCTCCTCCCCCTCCTCATCTTCCTCATCTTACCCACTTCCACCCTTTCTCCCCTACTCCTCCTACTCCCCATTCTCCCCATTTATAGTACTTCCTTCTCATCTCCCTCCTTCCCCCTTTCCTCTCCATTCTTCATTCTTCTTCAGTGCTTTGTGTTTATCATCCTACACTTGTAGGATGCGTTAAGTCTCGTCACAAGAACACCAAGAACACCAACAAGGTTTCAATTGATAAGTAATATGGAGTACATACACATTCATACATTCCCCTATTACTGCAATTTAGAAAAGTATCATGATAATGAGTATGTACATAATGAAGATGGCTATTCCGTCTACTTCATTCCGAAGAGAGTTCATCGGATATCCTCGTCCGGAATGGCTCCAACTCCTTGCATGATGCCGTGCCTGTCTTAGGGCGTCTTCTGCACGAGCCGTGAAAGTTAATCCAGTTATTAAAGTTTAAAAGAATCCTCTTCAGCGCATCCACTGTCGTGAGGTACGCCCTGCCGACTTGCGTTCGAGCAATGCAGGAATCTAAGATATGCTTGATCGGCTCAGCTGTGCTTGTTACTGGCAATCTCATCTCGTAGAGCAGGCACTCAACCTCTCCTTTTCCGGGGGCAGGCAAATGGGTAAGGATAGGTTTCTGCCATTTTCAATTTCTTCCACCAACAGTGTGGACACTGTCGGAACAGTCCTTGCTTTCGCACCTCCAGTAAAAAAAAAAAAAAAAAAAAAAAAAATCTTCACGTCTTTATATTTAATGAAAATGTGTTGCCTGTTGTAAGTTTCTGCTTTCCTCTGTATGCTAGCATGGTTTGGCATTCTTCATAAGGGACGTCGGAGGAGGAAAACATGAGGCAAGGATCAGACATCAGGATCAAGGAATGAAGGCAGGAAGAAGTAAGAAAAAGAATTGATGTTAATCAATAACTAACATAAATAAGCGGTGACTTATAAACGCACGAAGAGGGCCCACGGTGCTTCGTTAGTTGGAACGAACCGGAATGCTCATCGAATCAGGATTAATCGGACTGTATATAAATGTGTGTGTGTGTGTGTGTGTGTGTGTGTGTGTGTGTGTGTGTGTGTGTGTGTGTGTGTGTGTGTGTGTGTGTGTGTGTGTGTGTGTGTGTGCGTGCGTGTGTGTGTAATTACACACACTCTGACATTCCTCGCTTGCTCTCTCCCTCCCTCTCCCTCACTAAACAGTCTTTTCAGTCACATGTTACAGGGAACTGCACATAACAAGCTAGGAGGAGCTAGATATGTGTATGGTAGAATTATCCAAATAATTTGTATGTGAAAAATATTTTTCCATACATATACTTTTGGGGTATTGTTTCAGTTATTTGCACCGATTTTACTTTTCTTTTTGTCGACCTGAAGGCAGTAAGAGAATTGAACAAACTCTGAGGCGCCGCGTCGGCTGTCCAACGAAAACGGGTACGCAAGGTAGGCCTAAAAGTCCAGGCAACTGTACTATGCACAAGCAATTACATGCATTTTATTTAA